AACAAATAAGTGACAGAAAAAGAATGGCTAACCTTTAGAATCTGATGTGACATATCCAGTGTAAGTTTGGAAATAGCTCAGTGCTCATGAGAAGACATCAGGGAAGGACATCAATGCCAAGCCAGTGAGGGAGGCAGGAAGTTGGGCCTCACACAAAGCCCAGAAAGTAAGGAGCTGTGATTTACCACAAGACTTCTAACAAAGTTACTGCCATGCCTAGAATCACTTGCTGGCTGCTGGGTCCATCTGGCCCTTTATCGGCCAAATGTGCATCAGTAGATAAAATTTGTCACTATTTTAATTTAACTAACATCATGGAGAGAGCATGGCCTTTGGATCAGACACATTTAAGTCTGTTTGAACTTATGGGAACTAATGGTCATAACAATGTTACTTGATTCACAGGTTGATTTAACAATGTTATAATAAAATGCATGTAAAAATTCCTGGACCTTGGGGGTTATAAAAAACTAAGGTTACTATCGTTGAAATGCTTTAAAACCTGCAAAGGCAAGAGTAATTTCTCTTTACGTAAAAAAGACCTGTTAGAGAGACTGCTTTGGCAGTAGAAAGTCTTAGGATGCTAGAACCACAATTTGTTATTAGATTAATAAAATAGAGCCCAGTTTCTTAAAATGGTGGAAAATGAGAACAATACAAAGCACTGGTAGTCATAAGAAAGATGGCAGATCTGAGGATTGAGGAAGGTAATGGATTGCTTGCCCTGTCACTCAGTAAACATTTATCAGACCCTAATATTTGCAGAGCATCTGAAGGGGCCTTCAAGCTATAATCTAACAGGAGACACATGGCATATCACAGACATTAGAAAGCAAAGTGTCAAGAGAGGACCCCTGCAGGAGTTCAAATGGCTAGGGCCTAAAGATATCAGGAGGTTTGCCAAGGAGGTGACATTTGAGGCAGTCCTTAAAGCAGGGCTCTTCAGATTGCGGGTCATAAATTTATTATGAAAGAGATGAGAGACTGCACATTGCAAGGATGAGTATTGCTTTTCGGAATTTTTGATTCAGTGTGTGTCCTAGGTCAAAATATACAGTTCTTATTGTAATTCATGTTCAAAAAGTTTGAAAATCATTGCCTTAAAGGATTAGTAAGATTTGGACACATTTCTGATTTCCTGTCCCTTGCACTGGATTATTTCATTTCTTGAGGGACCCTTCTGTTGCTACTCCCTCTTTCTTGCCTTTCCAACTCCAGTATGAACTGCAAAACTGAGTTTAGGCATGGCCTTTTTCCATAAGATTTTCTCAACTCCCTCCCACTCACCATCTTTACCCTAGTGTGGGTTGAGTGCTCCATCACCATGTTCCCACAGCATCCGTGCTTACACATTTCACAGCACTTATATAGTGATTGTTTTTGCTTGCCTGTCTACCCCCAACCCAAGCTTCCTTGGGTCGGGGAGCTCATAAAGTCTGTGTCTTATTCAGGGCTAGTCTTACGGGTATGCAGTCTGTGTAGTCACACAGGGATATGTAGTTAGAAGAGCCCTGTGCTTCTAAAGCACTGTTATCACTGTTTTGAAATTCTTATTTTATAACAGAGTCTGAATTTTCATTTTGTACAATACCTACAAATTATGTAGTCATTCTGTTCTTATTGACCCTAAAGTTAACCAGAACCTTGCTTAGAACAGAGTAAGAGATCCACAAATGAATGAACAAAATATGAAGGATTGAGTGAATAGCATCCATCATCTATTGAGAGCCTATTATGTTGTCTCAGAAACTAGGTTAACAGTGGTCATGTACATCGTGTCATCTAAATGTCTGCAGACTTAGGGACAGGTAGCACCAGGGGAAGGAGGATTATGTGAGCAAAGATGGGAGGTGAGAAAATATAGGGTATGTGAGGAAAGTGGGGCACATGGTTTAGTTCAATTTAACAGCAAGAGAAGGCATTAGTGAATGATGAGTCTGGAAAGTAGGTTGAGACCAGATTGCAGAGGGAGAGGTGAAAAGTTGAACTTTGTGCTGATGATAATGGAGGCCAAGGAACATTTTTGAGTAATAAGGTCTGGGCATGAGGAAAGTTTTGGAGCTACTTAATATCTCTTCAGCTCTGGAAGAGTATATGGGAAACCTGTTTATCATTTGGGAAAGGAAATTTCCTAAGGTTCTATGAAGTCACTGTTAGATTGTATTTCCTGTGTTTCTCCAGAATTGTGTGAAAATAAAATGTCACGAACCTATTTTAACAATTGATATTTTGAAAGCACTAAGAGAGACAACTATTTCAATATATCCTTTTTTTGAACCAATAATCAATTTTATTTACAACTTTGGGAAGGCATTTTTAAAAATTGTGGCTCATCCCTGATTAGGAAGTAGTTGAACACAGAATAAATTGTACTAAGTCTGTGAAACATGAATGTTCAGTTTCATAAAGAAAAAAACATAAATATTGCCATAAAACATATTCATATGTTTGGAATTCATATGGATTGCCATAAAAACATATTCATATTCATATTGGAAATAGTGTCAGCATATTTCCAGGTAAGGAGAACCTGTGTTTCTGACAGAAAGAGATCAGACTGGTCATTCAACATGTGATTCCATCAGATAGCTCAATGAAAAAGCAAACTATGTAGATATGTTGAGGTGAATCCAGGGAGAAATAATGGAATTGGACTTTTTTCAAAGTCTTTTCTGTACCTAATTCCTTCTTTTAGAAGGGACAAAACTGAGACACCTGCAGCATGCACCTGGCCAAGACAGTCAGTTTGTAGTCGGGTCAGAACCAGGGCAGGACTAAGGCTGGTTGCGTTGAACTTTGAAGATTGCTGCTAACTCCAGTTTTATTGGTGTCAGACACATTTCTTTCAGTGATTAATGCTGATTATAAACTATTGCCTTGGAAATAATAAAAATCTAAATCTTTAAGTCCATCTATATATGTGGTGTGTGTTTTTTCCCTTCTTTTCTCTGCCATAATGGAATCCAAAATAGAACAAACATGTTTTAGATATTCAAACTGTGCCTAGCCAGCAATTTATAGCCATTCCTATGTAAACATTGTCTATCAAATATCTAAATAGAGATCCAAGTCATTTTTCTTTTCTTTCTGCCAGTAGATAAGTAAATAGAAGGGAAAAAATAGCAAGAGAAAAAATAGAAGGACAAAAATACCATTTGCTTAAAGTCAACTAGCTTTTACTATGGCTCTGTGAGATAAGGAAAAAGCGTTTTCAGACAGTTGCTCTGGTGATAAATCATGCACAGGAGATTAGAGCTTAAATAGAGATCCGATTGGTACAAGGTACAGGGATTCTTTTCATAAGGAATAGATCTTATTTTTAACCTTGGTAGGTTGCATGCAGCTCCTTCAGCAAATGTTATTCAACAATTCAGACTAACAAGCATTCTTAGGCACTTAAAGTGTGCCAAGCCTTGTGCCAGGATTGGGGATATAGGAAGAAAAGAGGTACATTTTCTATGTTTAGGAGTTCACAGTCTAGTGAGGAAACACAGAGGTAAACATGCATTCATGATATAGAATAAGTGTCATGATAAACTTGACCTCTGAGTATTAGAATGCAGAGGAAGGGTGTGTTTCCAGCATTGGAAATCTGGGAAGGCTTCTGGAAATGATGACTTGGTGATATGGAGATGAAGGGAGGACAGAAAAAGATTTGAGGGAGGAAGGTGTTCCAGGCAGAGAAACAGCATGTGCAAAGTCAGGGAGCAGGGAGATCCCTGCTCATTCTGCCTGTATAGCTAGGAAAACCCAAAGTATTTCCCATCTGTTTTTCCCTGTGATAAAACAAAGTGATTCCCTACCCCTTTCCCAATTGAGTAAATTGAAAAAAATAGTAAATTTATTAGAAGACTACACTATTAAGCATACAGAGTCACAGAAAAATATAAGACTAGAAGTAAAGAGAGGTGTTTCATAGGCCTGATTTCAGCCCTTATTATTTATGTGACCTTCGGCAAGTCATTTGTCTTTTAAGGCTTAGTTTTCTTATCTGTTAAGTGGAGATAATTACGCCTGCCTACATCACAGACTCCTTTTTTAAATCGTTGTCAACAAGCTACCAAATGCTATATAACTTAATAGATTTTATAGACACCCACACACGTGTATGTGCACATGATTATATAGTTCATTAGACTGTAAATAGACTATAATAACTTTTATGACCTAAATGTGTTTCTCATGATTTGAGAATAGATGTCTTCCACACTGCAACCCAACTGTTTAACCAAAAATACAAATCTGATTTGTCATTTTCTCACTTAAATCCTTTCAGTGGCTTCTCTTTACCTACCAATATCCAAACCTCAATATGTGGCCAGTAAGTCTCTGTAGACAGGTCTCCTTCTTACTTCTTAGTCTAATCTGCCACAACCTTTAAAAGGTGCTTTGTATTTTCATAATCCAAGAGACTGAGATGGCCTGTTTCTTCTCCCTTTCTGCCTCCTGTCCTTCTTCGCTTTTTGGTCCCCAGTTAAACTTCTGCCTAGGACTTGTTTCATCTTCTGCTTGCATTAGGGATTGTTTTGAAGTACACAAATGATCTGTAATCACATTTGACGTTCCTATTGACTATCAAGAAATTTCTATTTCATGTATTCCCCTTATCTGTGGAAACCTGGATAATGTACTGTGGCCAGTTAGTAAAATGGGTCCTAGTGCAAAATCTCATATGCCTCTCCCTTGTCCCCCAGTGTCGAAATATCCTTTTCCATCTCACTGGTGGTGAAAGTTTTAGGTGTTTTTGTTACTGATGATGATCTTGGAATTATCAAATGTAAAGCTAATTTTTGCATTTTAAAACTTCATTTGTCGAAACATTTGATGTGAAATATTTGTGTTTGAATAAAATACTTAAAAAGTCCATTGAAAAACCAAGCCATTTGTGATAAACAGTGTTTTCCAGACTTTCTCCATACTATGCAGTCACATTTCTAGTAAAACTCATGTGTCTAAAGGCCACTGTGGGTTATTCTCCTATGCAAAGAAAGTATGCTGTCAAAAGGTGAGTTTAACTCTCCACTTTAAGGAAGCGGAACTGTCTACAGCTTTTCTACAGATGCTGTTTTCTTTCCAATGCCAAACTTTACTCATACCTTTCTTCCTCTCTCTTTCCCAACTTGCCTCTTTTCCTCTGTCTGGCACTAGGAGCTCAGTGGTGCTGCTCTTGCTCTACTGTAGCATACGGACAGACCATCTGCAAAGGCTCTTGTGAACATGGCAGCACATATACGGATTTTTCTCTCTGTGGGGAGAGGGACATAAGAGATTGAAGATTGATTAACTCAGCTCCATGTCTTTCAGAAGAAAATCAAATGTGAGACCTCAGGCATGCACAGAAGCCTCTGGTTCTAATTGTATTGTATTGAATCATTTGTGGGACTTGTTACGAATTCATTTTCATGGTCATGAATGGTAGGCACTATTGGTTAGAAGGAGTTGAAATTCAGTATGTCCCAATAATCTTGCTGCTTAATGAAAAAAAAAAAAAAAAGAAAGAAAAAAAGAATAAAGAAAAGAGTAGACCAAATTCTCCCTAAATTTCCACATTTACTGTGTTAAATAAACATGTATTAGCAAGCAGGCACAACAGTTTACAAAATTTATGCTGTAAGCTGATTCAAGATCCAGACTCTGTTCTTTTAGATGATTTGGCCATGTCAAATCAAGGCAGGACCCATTTTTACTACCTGGCCATAGTGTATTATCCAGGCTTCCACAGATAAGAGGAATACATGATACAGAAATTTCTTGATAATCAATAGGAACTTCAAATGTGGTTACAGATCATCTGTGTACTATTCTAGAGGCAAAATTATTATGGGCATTAGGCAACCAGAATTTCCTACAAAATGGCTCAACATAGCTTTTACGGAGCAGGCATCAGCCATGATTTCTAAGTGCACAGCCTATAGATCTTTCTAAATTCTTATATCTAATTTTATATATAAAAAAAGTATCTCTAGAATATTATAGACAATTCAGATGTTTTGAGAACCAGCTTTCATCAGTAGCAACCCAGATCTAGCATATGTTAAGCTAACTAAAATGCTCATACTTTCACCAACGAAATATTCATTTCTAGCATTCATCATGCTAAAAAGCCTCTGGAGTTAATGGGCAATAATGATAGCTATAATTGTTGGTAGTAATTTCCTATGAAGTTTGGCTTTTTAAACTAAATATGAGCTGGCCCCTGTCTTGTAAATATAGAACTGACTACAGCAACTGATTGTCTCTACAGTATAATTTAAACTAATCTACATCTAAAATCTTATGATAAAGTAGATTACAGACAATATAGTACTCTGGGTTTAGAAGATATAGCAAACAAACAAACAAACAAAAACTTAACAGAGCTAATTTTGGGACCAGACTTCTAAATAGGGTTAAGGGTTAAGTTGCTTAGCTGAAGGTCTTCTTTCCCCAAATAACTTTGTATAAATTGCTAGAAAAGCAGTTATATTTTCTGAGATCTCATTGACTCTAAAGATCACATCGTCTTTAAAAATATAAACATATCTGGAAAAGTTAAAGGGCCATCAGTACTTATTCATTCAATGAAATTTAGTGAAAGTGGTTTGGTGGAAATTAATGTTACTTAAGTGTTTTACCTCTTCCTCCCCATGCTGGGCTGGACAAGTGAGCAAGGGGGTAAGCCAGAACAGGGCTGAGGCCCTGGGGACCATGTGGAGTATGGTATCCTGAAGTCTGAAGTGTCCTGTCTGAAGAGATCAGAGTGAAAAAAGCAGAATGGACAATGTGAGCTATGTTTTTGAGAAGCCATAGAAAGAACCTAGAAAGCTGCCTTGGTAAGGCCTCACCAGAACAGTTTGCTTTGTGGAGACTGGGACCTTCCAATTGGATGCTGTTTCACAGCAACACTTTGCTCATCAGGTTATCCTCAAATGCTGACCTATGCAAGTTGGTTATAATAGAGCAGTTAGAACTTAGAAGATGATTCTGTGTTTGGAATGCAATGGTCTGCTTGACTCTAAGTTATATATTTTCAAAGGATTGGTAGATTTCTTGCACTTGAATAGCCTAGGACCTGAAGGCTGGTCACTCTCAATGACAGTCAGGACAACACTGAACTGGATTTATGAAATGGACAGTCCAAATGATCATCTCTCTGAGCTAAACGGAAACAACAGGAAATGCCAAGATGACTTAGGGAAGGCTACATTGATAGCAAAGGGTCATAGCCTATGCCTGGTACCTCTACTCTAAAGCTCATGCTCTTCCATACTAGGGAATGGAGGGAGGATAAACGTGAGAGGAAAAATGGGGTCAGGGAAAGGAGTTTAGAGGCTTTTTCAATGGTCCAGATGAGAGATAACAGTATCTATGTCAGGAGCAGTGAAGTTGCAGAGAGGTAGACAGATTAAGAACAGATATTAAAGGTAGAACAAACAAAATTTTATTGTGGTTTGGATGTGAAGGGTGGGTAATAAAGAAAAAAAGAGCAATTAACTCTGAATTTTAGATTTTTGACTTGAGCAACCAAAGTGGATGATGTAGCATTTTGTGAAAAGGGGAATGGTTTTAGGGAAAAAAAAGATTTGGGCAGGGCAGACAGGAATTTAAGGAGGAAATTTAGAGAGAATTTTGTTTTGGCCTTATGTTTTTAGAGGCATATTAGACGTACATGTGAGATGGCAAGATGGCAGAAAGGTAATCATGAATCAATGTAATATTCTTATGAAACTACCAAGTCAAGTTTGTTTCAAAATGTAATTCTCAATAATCAAAGATTGATTATGCAGTATAGAACTTTTGGGGTAAGGCAATTACATTTTGGAGAATGTCTTGAAGACAGTATGATTTGAGTCTTAGAGAAGTTTGTGGTAAACCATTCTTTCTGCCAGTAGTTTTTTAACAGGGTATATTGTCTATTGAGCCTTTATTCTAGTACGTTTGACAAGACAAGAGGTTTTCAAACATCTTGTTTAAGGCTTTTTCTGGATCTGTCACCTCACTTAGGCAACTTTTATTTCAACTTCTAGGAATCTGAACAAAGACTTTTTGTATTGAATTTCATTTCACCTACTTGTGAAATGACCTCCATGGTCTAACCTGGAAACCGATTTATTCCTTAGAACAGTTTTTATTTTATTTTTTAAATGAAAAAGTATGTTATAAATTCCAAACAATCCATTTAAATAAGATTTGGGAACATAGCCTGCTAGTAAAAGAGAGACTGCCTGTACTTCCTTTTTGTTACTTTTCAATCCAATTTTCAGTTAGGAAGAACTTGAAGGGAGGAGAATATGTGGAAAGTACTCAGCTGTGTATCTAGCCAGCATTTTAATTGGAGTGTGAATCATATTTAGATAGAGAGAACCTGATATAAGTCAGGTTCTCAGAAACCGAAACACCTGTGTTGGAAATTTTAGAAGTGAGAGGCTCAGGACTCCTGCACTGCACCTCCCCAAAAGCACCACTCACAGTGAGAATTACATTTCTTTTCTCTTTTCTTTTCTTTTGAGACAGAGTCTTGCTCTGTCGCCCAGGCTGGAGTGCAGTGGCATGATCTTGGCTCACTGCAAATTCCGCCTCCTGGGTTCACACCATTTTCCTGCCTCCGCTTCCTGAGTAGCTGGAACTCAAAGTTGTGCAACAGAAAGGCCCTGGAGATTCCCAAAATGCCATTATACAAACAAGACATAGATGAAGTACTATGGAAAGGACTTGAAATTTAACATCATGTAAGTCTAGATCTCAGTCACGCTTTGCTACTTACTAGTCATATGGCCTTAACCTATGCAAGAAAATCACTTAACCTATATGTGTTTTAGTTTTCTTACCAATAAAATGAAGGTAATAAAAACTGTCTCATTAGATTAGTTTGTTTGTTGATTTACTCATTCATTCATTCATTCAACAAATGTTTTTTGAGCATCTACTAGGAATCAGCTATGTGTTAGGTGCTAGAGATACAACAGTGAGTAAGGTGGACATGCTTTTTCCTTCCATGGATCCAGATGGCAGGTCACTACATAAGCAGTTGCCAGAAAGTGGAATCATTTGCCAATTAGAGGAAAGGGATATTCAAGTACACGATAGGAAGACCTTACATAGCCTTGGAGGATGGGGCTCTGAAAAGACCACCTAGAGATATAAAAGACTGAGTTGGCCAGATAAGGAACAGAGATGCAGGCAGACCATCTCCCTGTCTTTTACTCCTTGTATTTAATCACCCATGCCCTGTTGCTTCTCTCTTCCTAATACTTCCTTCATCATTCTTTCTTCTCTAGAGAGAAAAATCTTTGGCAATTAGGCCAATCTCATAAAATAGTTTCTAAGTATTATACAATTTAGTTTTTTGAGCTGCTTTCTCCTCCTGCCTCAAATGGTAGGAATTCACCAAGGTCAATTCTGTTGCCCTTTCCTCTTCTCTCCTTCAATGAGTCAATCTGACTCCCATCTTTAACAATGATTTTCATATTGGTGACCCATAAATTTGTGTCCCCCAATAACACATAAATTGGGGGATTAGGGCAATAAGTTCCACCAGGAACAGCCTAGGGCAATTTTGCCCACTGGGAACATTTGACAACATCTAGAGACTTGATTGTCAAGACTTGGGAGGAGATATGAGGCTATTGACAGCTAGTGGGTAGAGGCCGGGAATGCTGCTAAATACCGTACAATGCATAGAATGGTCCTCACAACAAAGAATTATTCAGTCCCAAATGTCCGTAGTTTTAAAGTGGAAAAACCTACTCCATTTCTGTAAATACCTATGGGCTTACACTCTCATATTTCTGTCTGCTTTCTGTCTCTTTTTTCTGCAGCTGCTGTCTGCTTTGTTAATCTAGACAGAAAACTCAGTCTCTGAACAGGTTTACCCAATAAAATGCACTTACATCAGACATTCTTGGGTTTATTGTATTTCACTGAAAATGTCAGAAGAATCATAGAGAATCAAATTGCACAATGCAGCTTTTCTCTTTATCTTTCTCATCTCTGTTCCCATCCGGTTCCTCTTGGGTTACCTGAAAAAAAAAAAAACTCTAGATTATTCTCTGTCTAGTGGAAAAGCAACTTCCTTATCTGAAACTTTGGCATCCACTGATCCCTGAAGACCTGGTTGGGGGTGGTGGTGTTGACTACTACTAACACTAACACTTATCCACACAGTTTTCAAAATAAGATAGTGGTATTCTTAAGTTAGTTTCTGATGTGTAAAATCTCTTTGTTTTAAAATGTGCGATTTTAAATTAATTTAAACCTTATTGTTTTCAAAATGCTTTTTACTGGTGAGATTAAAAAGTGTATTAATTAGGATATAGATTCAGTTGCCCAAAACAGAGATGTATAATTACAGGGACTTAAACGAGACAGTTTAGTTCTTACACTCTTAAACACCTAAACTAGTATGGCAGCTCCATTCTGGGAAAAGCAGGGGCCTCAGGGTAGCCCTTCTCAGCATAGTTCACAATGGTCCTCTACCACATCCTCATTCCACTGGAGGAAGGGGGAAAGAAAGTGAAAGGCGTGGTCCTTACTTTTAGTCTATTTGTTTATTAAAAAAATTTTTTTTTCTTGGCCTTTGCTTTTAAAGGTAAGACCTGGAAATTCTCCATTACTTCCACTCCAATCCCATTGGCCAGAACTTAGTCATTGGCCAGAACTAGGGGTAATGGGTGGTGGAGAATGTAATCTATATTCAGACTCATTGTATGTGTAGCTAAAACTCAAAATCCTTCTTCATTGGATGAAGAGGAGGATGGCTGCAGTGGAACAATTAGGAATATCTGCCTCAGAGGGGACTTGGCGTCAGGAGTACCTGAGAACAGTGGGAATGCCTGTGAAAACTTTATCTGTGTTTTCTTGATTCTTTATAACATTTCTCCTCCATGCCCCTGCCAGAACTCAAATTCCTTCCTTATGCCAGCACTATATTATTACAGTCAGTTCCTATCAGTCTCCCTAGTATAATTCTCCTTGCTTCACTCCCTTGACCAAACCCTTGTCTTAAAACAGACCCCTATCCTACCAATAAGGACCCTCCAACTTTTGACCTCTACTTCCCAGACTTAATTCTCTTTAACACATGTTGCTTCCCTCTTTTCCCAGTCTTTCCAGACTATAGAGACATATCTCTTCTCTGAACTCTAACAACCAGTAGAGGTTGCGCTATGCAGTTTCACAGGTGATAACTTACGTGCATGTGCATATGTGTGCATGAAGTGCGTATGTGTTGGGGGTTTGGGAAGGCTGTTTTGTGGGTATGTTGGGAGTGAGTGGAAGTGAATGTGGATAAGTAGGAAGGACCAGTATGTGAGGATCTTGTTAAGAAACACGTTAACCTAAGACACAGAGGTATTATCAAACACTCCTGGGATGATGGCATCAATAATTTATACTGCAAGAAATGCTAATTAGGAAAGAGTAATCAGACAAACTGCTCTTTGATCTCAGTGAATACTTGTTCAGCGCTAAGGTAAATCTCAATGAGATTAGAAGTTCAGGACAAATATGTAGAGACCTTGAATTACATGTAGTAACAACAGTGATGAAATATTAATTGATTTGCTTGTTTTCCTACATAGAAATACTTAAGAGAGTAGATTATGATATTCTAGAATTCCAGAAGGGAATATTTATTAATAGGCAGGCTAGGATTCCCTAGAGAGGGACAAAAGTAGAGAAGTACAATAGGATGTCTAAAGAGAGAGAGAAGAAAAAGACTGGCTTCTTTTTCTTCTTTCCTTCCTTTCTACTCCTCCTTCTGTCTCACTTTGCAGAGGTGGGCTATGACCTCTAGCATTTCCAAAGCATAAAAATATGTTCCCTTCTGTCAGTATTTTAGGAAACTGTGCTTCCTCCAAACAGATTCAATTTTTGCTCCTCACCCTCAGATCATCCAGCCTTTATCTCATATAATCATATCAGGGGTCTCAGTTTGAATTTAAACTTTAATAACCCTAAGATTTAGATATGTTGTGGTGATGAAATGGGCCTGAGAAGAAGAGGTCCTATATATGAGGGGCTCAGGAGCCTCCATAAAGCGTAGGTAAGAAAAAAATGAACGCTGAAGAAAATAGTGTTATCCACCCCTTGTTCAAGGCCAGAAGGCCAAGGTTGAAGAAGAGAAGTGATTTTGAGAGGTACAGGCTGCAAACCAGCCCAACCCACAAAGAACTATGCCTGAGTCTTAGAATGAATTAGATATAGTAAAAGTACGGGTAAAGAAGCTGTCTCCCTAAAAATCTCTGTGGTACATTGTGAGCCCAAGGTATAGCAGCATTATTCTCTAGACCTGTAGCAGCAACCAAAGATGTTGCTAGTGACTTTAGCAGAAACCATTTCATTGCTTATGAACTCAGTCACTAGCAGCCTTAGGTGATCGGCATATTAGTGGGTCTTGGCATATATAGCAGTCACATTTGGCATCAGCATTGGTAAGTACAGAGGCATCATCTCTGAGCCCCCAGCAGGAGAGGAAAATCATGGAAGACCAAAGTAACCAGGGCAATTAATTCACAAGCAAATGTGAGACATGCCCTTGGGCCACGGTTTCCAAAATAGAGTGGGTCTGTAGGTCTGAAGTTAGCCTCAGGATCTCTGAATTAGAGACTATGGCTAGATAGCTGGACTTCTGAGGCACTTAAAGCCATCCAGCCTAATCCTTTCATTTGATAGAGGAGGAATCAAAGACCTTTGAAAAGTTAAAGATATGCTCCAAGTCAGAGGGAGAAATTGACCCCAAATGTAGGTCTTCTGATTCTTAGTCTGGTGCTTGATACTAAACACTAAATAGTTATCTTATTGAACGTAAGTCTTTTATGACAAGAGCTTCATTTTCAGATGTGTTATTCAGATTCTTTGTGCACAAAGGGGTACCGAAGAAATGCTGGTTAGAAAAGAAAAAAAAAAAGAAACCCTCCATACTTGGTGTAGGATGGACAAGTCTCACAGTCCCACATAGTCATGCCTCTCATCCAACCCAGGTCTTGAGTTATGTTCTTGGATTTTGACTTAGGCTAGCTCTTTCCCAGGGAGTTCTGTAGCCCAGCTCCCGCTACCAAGCCTCTCAAGAGAAGCAGGCATGCCTAGGTCTCCGGTGAGCACAATTAGGCTAAAACAGAAACACCTATTTAAGTTGGTGCAAAAGTAATTGCAGTTTTGCCATTACTTTTAATCTTAGCTCCAGCTGTGGGAGCTGGAAGTCCTGGGCTTTGAAGAAGGATGGCATTGGAGGAGGAAGTCTGGACCCGCAGCAACAACACCTCAGTGGGGTACTGACAGGAGGGACTTGGGAGCAGTGTCTCCTGGATATAGGGAGTCTCAGCCCATGTCTTCTACAGAGGAGGATGGACTGTGGTAACTTTCTCCTTCCTTATCCTGCTTTTTCTTCTATTCACTGTCTAGGTTGTTCTATTACCTTTCCCTTCTATCACCCTTTGATCTCTTACTTAGTTCTAAATTGGAAACAAGCCATTCCAATGGGATAAATCCTTTTTATTCATTTAAAATTACCATAAAGTATAGAATTCTCACTGGTAAGAAGCTTAAAGTTGTACAAAAAATTTATAATACAAAAATTCATGCCCTTACAAAGGTCAAGCTACAGGGACAAAATATGTACTTGCAATCAAAAGTATCCTGGGTACAAACTAATATAATATCTGGTAGGTGCTATTTTTGGAATACATTTCTAAAATGCAATGCTGTGCTTATATGCACTGTCTCATTTTGTTTTTATACTCTTTGTATGTGATTTGTAATTTCTTAATAGATGTGGAAATCGAGGTTAAAAGAAATAGAGAAACTTACCCAAGTTCACACACAGCAAATAAGTTCTGGAGCTAAAATTCAAACTTCAGTATTCATGGAGATCTTCCACCACCCTCAAGTTGAGTACGTTATAGCTAAGGACCACAGATATTATTGGCAATCATGAGTATGTGTGTCCTGGAAGAAAAGAAGTGAGCGCTAAGCTCTGATGGTTGTGAAACTTTCTCCTAGCATCCACTATGTGTCTACTGGCTGCTTTGCATATAGTATCTTATTTAGTTCTAACAATCTCATGTAACCAAATATTTCAATTTTCACCTTATTGATTAAGAAACTGAAGATTGAAAAAGAAAATTAAGCAGGGATGGTCCTGCAGCTACTAAAGATCAGTGTGGATTCCAACCCAGTCTCCTCCCAAGTGTGTGACTTTCACAGAGGTGACAGAGAGGGAATTTCAGCTGAGAAAACCATCAGGAGCATTAGTACCAGGGTAGAGAAATAAGTCAAATATACAAAGACAGAAAAATTTGATAAAAGTGAAACACTGTTATCAAAAAGGGAGAAGTAAGGAAAGAGAGTGAAGCATTGGGAGAGGAAGTCACGGATAGGTCTTAAAGCCAAAGTAGAGGAATTGGGGTTTGATATTCCTGGCCCAGGGAATCTACTCCATGGTCTTGGGCAGGTTAGGACATGGTAAGGTAGTGGGCTGAAAGATGGTTTTACTCTCTGTGTGCCAGATGGAAAAGAGGAGAGTGACTAGAAACTGGGTGACTGCCTGGGAGATTTTCCCCAGTGTCCCCAAATTAATGATGATGGTGATGGCTGTCTTTCTTGGAAAGTGTCTATGCACTCAGCTTTGATCTATGCACTTTACATGCATTTACCTCCTTAATATTCTCAATTAGTTTATGAAGTACCATTATCATCATTCCTATGTTATAGATAAAGAAAGTGAGGTTCCAAGAACTAAGGAACACATAACAATTAAGTGGTAGGGCTAGAATATAAGGCGGTCTGTGTGACTGCTCAGAACTTAAGCTTTCTCTTATACCATGCTGCTTCTCACTGCTCTCCCTGTCACTCAGTAGCAAGAGTATCCTCATCAGCACAGCTTCCTACATAAAACCATTTAAGTGCAGCTGAAAAGAAGCAGCAGCAGCAGTGACTGCTAACACTGCTCTTGTCCCAGATGTTTGACTGTCCTGTACACGTGAGCACTAGCTCAGATGTTAATGTCTCTGCCTGGGCTAAGAAGTTCTTGGCATGAGATGTTTCAGGCTGAGTTTGAGATTTAGACAGGCTGTTCTGGGTGCAATGGATGGAGACTTTCTTTGACACAACTGTAGCTTAGTAAAATCTTCAGTAAAGGTGCTAATTGTGTACAATTTACCTGCAGAGGTTTCCCTTTCATAAATATTCTCTTTTCCTTCAAGGAAACTGACTAACTTCTAAGAGCCAAATTTCATTGTGTAACGGCAGAGACTTTAAAATACATCAAAGAGTGTGTCAAACTTTTCCACTCTCCTAACTGCAGGGGAACTAAATGGAAACTCTGTGGGAGCCGGGGGTGGGGTGAGGGGTTGGAAAAGAGTAGGTTAAGAACAAGACATTTCTTTGAAGTTTCATGTTTCATCTTAAGAATTTGTGTGAAGTTTCCATTCCCACAAAAGACATCTGTGTTTTAAAATTAAAATGTTTTCCTAAAACTGTGGGTTTGCAAAATAAAATTAAAATGTTTTTAGAATTAGAGAGAGGCACCATGATAATCAGGAGTTTCATGTCCTCCCCAACATAGCACCTCTTAATCCCAAAGTCAATGAAATCCATATGAGACACCCAAACATAACAATTTGCAACTAGATTTCTGTGGCCATGGGAATAGATTCTTCCAATCCTGTGTCTTCTCTGCTGGCAAACATAGTCAGAAGGTCATAACTCACATAAATGTCATGCACAGGACAGCTGCACCAGGCAGAGATTAAGTTTGTAACCAAATATACCATAAGGGCTCCCAAAATACCTGAAGGTTAGTATAGCATAGTGGTTAAGGACAGAGCTTTACACTTAAAGAAACAGTGTTCAAATCCCAACTTGGCTGGTAACAGCTGTAGCACCTTGAGTTAGTTATTTAGCCACTCAGAAAGGTTAAGTCCATGAATATGCATTATAGTGTTTAGAAAAATGCATGGTATATTTTAAATGCTCAGTAAATGATAGCTTTAATTATAGTTAATAATTGTAAGATCATGAGATTTATTGTTTGAATGTAAAATGTAAAATATATAAAAGTATTACAAATTATTATTGTTTCTTAAGAGAAAAATAACCTTTACACACAGAAAATATTTGATTATCTGTTAGGTCTGGAAACCTGAAACAAAATTCTAGGTTAAATTTTTTAAAATGTACACTTACATGATCCCTGCCCTCTAGGATATGGAAAGAAAAATTGTGATGCAGAAAATCATACAGAAAAGTTATGAAAAAGCAATCAATGAACTAAAGCGATTTTCTATCTCTTAGAAAAGTATCAAATTATTCTTATACACTAGTCTGGATGCCCAATACTTGAGAAACAGCATAAAGTTTACAGAAAAAATGAATATATGAATACTTAATGAGACTAGAAAATAGTATAGGCAAAATCTGAAAACTGAATAATCGAGGAATGCCAATCGAATGAATATTTATTATAATAATTGAATAATGTAAAATATAATGAAGTCCTTTAGACCCAGTATTCTGTTCTTGGGCTGGTGAGGAGTGTGGAATCTTTAATTTTTCAATCTACAAAAATTTATGGATTTATTGATCTAGATGTTTTGTTACACTCCGGACTAGAATGTGTCAGAGTGCATTCTCAAGGAACCTGCAATGAAAGACTGTGGCAGTGTTTTTCCTTTCTCTTGATGGAAACACAGTAGTCTGATCCTCCAAGTTTCTTCCGATTCCTTACTTATAGACCTATGATTTCTTTTGTTAGGTCTCCAGCCCTTGCTAATTGGACAACTATGATGCTGCAAAGACATCACTTCAGAACACCCTTCTCCTTCTGATAAATTTATTTCAGAGATACTCTGAAATAGAGATATCCAGAGGCAGTTCAGAATAAAAAAAAATATGTTGATTAGAGACTCCTGCAGCTACAGACACATATTTCTTGACTGGATTAATGTAGGTTGGTGAGAAAAAGAGAAACTAGCACTTACCAGATCCTCTTTCCCCAAGATGTGGCCAGAAGAACTGCAAGAGTTGTTTGGTGACCCAATTTTTAGAGGCATTATTATCAACTAAAACAGGTATCTGCCCTTAAGGGAGATGAATCAGACCCAGAGGGCTCCACTAGGCTTCCTACCTACCAGAGACCCACTTCCAGAAGCTCTCCCTGCAGTATGCAAATTTGATCTAATGGGTAGCAACTCAAAGAAAGTAATTAATTTCTATGATTCTTTCATAGTCACACACCGGACACATATTTAGGGAATTGTCATAAATATTAATATTTAGGGAATTTCCATGTATATTCAGTGAATGGCAAAAAGATCTCCAGATAGTGCTCGTGGAGTTCTCTGCAAGCTCCATCTCAGTAAGGGACAGATAAGGGGAAGTGGTGGAGGTAGATAAAGAAAGATAAAACAAGCTTTCTGTGCAACCCTCTGAGTTGATGCGCCATCTTAGCTGAATTTGCAGTATAATCCAAGCCAGATGGCTGGCTGTCCTCTCTGACACATCTAATTAGATGTGGATTTATGCTTACTTCATTCATGATGCTTGATCTCTATTATTTAGAGTTCATAGAGCAGGAAGCCCTTGAAGCCCTTCAGATGTTCCTGTGTAGCCCTTGAAGTCAGGGTGAAGGGAAAAACATAACATTATGAATTGTTTTGATGCCGAGATTAAGTGTAGTTTTATTTATCCTTGAAGGCCTACAATGATTTCATCCAGGATGCATGTTGGCATTTGAATCATTGTTCTAAGTAGTATGAAAAGTAGATTAAGATGCAATTTCTAATTATACTTTTGGTTTTAAATGTTCATGTTAACGTTTATACATTTATGACATTAAGAAAAAAATTATACTATAATCCCACTACTCAAACTCCCAAAATATATCTTCCTCTTTGACATCATTCAGTGTATACTTAGACATATAGATGCTTTTTGTATAGATATCATTATAGCACATACACAACTTTGGGGTTTTATTTTGCTTAATATTGTTTGAGATAAACTGTTCTCTGATTCTATTTAGGTTGGTGCAAAAGTAATTGAAGTTTCTGCCATTACTTTCAATAACAAAAACTGCAATTATTTTGCGCCAACCCAATACCATATAATCTGAATTAATGAGGAATTAAAACAATAGTGTGGCTAAGAATTTATGATGGAATTTACTTTGTAAGTAAAGAGTTTACTTTGTAAGTAATTTGTAAGGAAATGGAATTTACTTTGTAATTTACAAAGTAAGAATTTACTTTGGTCAAGTTACTGATATTCTCTGAATTTTAGTTTCTTCATCTGTAGAATATAGATAATAAGATCTGTCTATAGAGAGTGTGTATAGACTAAACGAGATAACACATGTGAAAGACTATACAGGGTCTGGCTGACAGTAGGTGTTCAAGTCATGGATATTACTATAATTATGTTAAAGGTAGATTTCACCACCACGATCCACAAAAGGCAGTAATAACACAAGGCTCCTATGTATGCAACAGCTATTTTTGAAGTCCTTATTTTCCTAAGTCTCTATTCTTTGCCTATTGTAAATGTTATGGGTTGAATTTTGCCCCTCACCCTGATTGTTGAAGTTGAAGTTCTAACCCCCATTAACTCAAAATGTGACCTTATTTAGAAATAGGTCATTACATACGTAATTAGTGAAGTTAAGATGAGGCCATTAGGGTGGCCCTAATCCAATCTGACCGGTGTCTTTACAAAACAAATATCATGTGAAGAGACAAGCATATAGGGAAGATGATGTGAAGACACAGGAACAAGGCATTCACCTACAAGCCAAAGAGAGGGCCTGACACAGATTCTTCCCTCACAGCCCTCAGAAGAAAACCACCCTGCCAAGACCTTGATTTTTCACTTTTAGCCTCCACAACTGCGAGTCAATGAATTACTGTGGTTTAAGCCATCCAGTTTGTGGGTATTTGTTACCACAGCCCTAGCAAGCTACTACAATAAGGCTGTCTTCGTGGCAATTTGAAGAAAAGTCTCAACATTATTTCATTGTTTTATAACAAGAGCACCTATTCACTCACTTAAAACAGAATTGAATTCCAGATCACAGAGTGAGACCAGACCAATAAATACAGTATTTAGGGTAGTTGAACTAAACGTCAGCTATTCACACATTCACAAACGCATGCTGCCTGACAATATTTATCATGTGAGCCAGCATTATTACCCCCTGGCCTCTCTCCTGTGATATATTTTCTGTATGGTTGCCAGAGTGATATTTTGGAAATGAAAATCTGATTATCCCTCATTTCTGCTCAATAGCCTGCAGTGGCTTCATGTCACACTAGAAACAGAATTCTAAGTTTAAGAGAGTTTCCATCGCCCTACAGGATTTGATCTTTGGTGAATCCTCCCACTTCATTCTTCCTCTCTCATCCTAGCTCGCTGCACTCCAGGCATGTAGGACTATTTGTCGTTTCCTCAAATTTCCAAATGCCTCCTACTTCAGAATCTTTGCACTTTCTGGCCTCTCTGACAGGACCACTCTTCACCCAGATTATCTATCTCTCTCTATCTATCTATCTATCTATCTATCTATCTATCTATCTATCTATCTATCTATCATCTATATCTCTGTGCTTTAATCTCTCACTCTATTCAGTCCTCCATTCAACAGGTGCTTCCTTATGGAGGCCTTCCTGGTCATCCTATATAAAATTCCCCCACACCTAAAACAGTGCCTGCAATGTAGCAGGTATTCAAACACTATTTGGTAAATGAATGCATGAATGAGTGAGTGAATGACTTCGGACTAGACCAATCTCATTTGCCCTGGGAGTAACTCTGAGGCATAATTTGTAAAATCATAGAACTAGAAGAGAGTTGAGAAATGAACTTCTACCTCCCTGCCTTTAGATGGATGGAATTGTCTGAAATTATAAATGTCACTCATTCATTGCTCATGAACCTATTGATTATTATTTCAGAACATTGAAAATATTAAGGAGAATAAAAAACAAATCGAAGCTTTTATTAATGTTGATGATCTTATCATCTAAATACATGCATACTTAAGAGAACTTTAAAGAATGACCAGGTGCAATGGCTCATGTTTATAATCCCAGCACTGTGGGAGGCTGAGACAGGTAGATCATCTGAGGCCAGGAGTTTGAGACCAGCCTGGCCAACATAGTGAAACCCCGTCTCTACTAAAATCACAAAAATTAGCCGGGTGTGGTGGCGGGTGCCTGTAATCCCAGCTACTTGGGAGGCTGAGGCAGGAGAATTGCTTGAGCCTGGGTGCTGAAGGTTGCAGTGAACCGAAATTGTGCCACTACACTCCAGTCTGGGTGACAGAGTGAGACCCTGTTTAAAAAAAAAAAAAAAAAAAAGTATAAATTAGCAAGTTTATTTAGAGCAGGAAGGAGATAAGAGGATACAACTCCTTATAATGTTAGGCACTGGTAAAACACAAATTGCCAGGCTTCAAATTCATGGTTTGACACTAGTTAGCTATACTTAGAAAACTTACTTAACCTCTCTAAGCCTCAGTCTTTTCATCTGTAAAATGGGGGTAATTATAAGGTTGCTATGAAGGCTAAATGCATTATTATTTATAAAGTAATTAGAATAGTGTTTGCTAAATTGTAAGCTTAATTTAAATTTGTTAAAGCTAAAGAATAATGTACATCTATATTTCAGCACTGCAAATGTTATCTTCTACTTGAAAACACTTTTAATGTCAATTTGTATTGAAGTAAGATACATAACAGAGGAGTGAACAAATTATCAAGTTATAGCTCAATATATTTTCACAAAGTAAATTCCATTGTAAATACCTCTCAGATCAGGAAATTGAACATTACTAGCATCCCAGAGGCCATCCTACTATTTATTCCATGTTGCTATGTCCATCCCAAAATTAACACGATGTCTATAACTCTTGATTAGTTTTGCTTGTTTTTGAACTTCATGTAAATGGAATAATATAATATGTGCTCCTTCATGACTAACTTCTTTAATCAACATCATGCTTATTATATTCACTCACGTGATACCATGTAGTAGTGATTTGTTTATTTTCATTGCTCTGTAGCATTCTATTGTGGGGATGTGTTATGGAATATACTGTTTTACTGTTGATGGGTATTTGAGTACATTCTAGTTTTTGGGCATTATGAATTGGTCAGCTTTGAACATTTCTATATATAGCTCTTGATGGATATATGTATTCATTTTATTGAGTATCTAGAAGTAGAATGCTTCTTTGGGTCAGAGTAAAAGGCATATATGCAATTCTATCAGTTTTTCAAAGAATTACATCACTTAACAGTATGTAATAGAGTGGAATATGTCTATAACCTATAAGAGTTTTCGTTGGCCTAGCACCTTTGTTAACACGTGCTATGGTCAACCTTTTTGATATTGGCTATTCCGGTGAGTATGTAGTAATTTTTCATTGTAGTTTTAGTTTGCATTTTCTTAATGAGTAATACTATGGACCACCTTCTCATGTGCATATTGGCTGTTTGCTCTCTCTCCCTCAGTAGCTTAAGTATTATTCTTCCTGTGAAAGAAGGATTCTGCATGGGGTGGCTGTGAAGTAACAGCCAATTGACTCCTGCAGACTTGTTCCACTTAGAGACTAGGGATCTCTCTCATGAGAACCAGTAGAGGCCCATAAAGAAGAGCCTGTGAGTGAGTATAAACTCTCAGTGTCTGAGGCCATCAAACTGACATGCCGTTCACACTTGACCTCCAACAATTCAGCCACCTGGTTCTTTCATGCGCTGCCACAGGTGACTCAGTTCATACATCCCATTACCTTAGGAGGAGTCTATTGTTCCTTGCAATTAGGCAACTTGATTGCTCTGTTACCTTAGCTCCTTAGTGGGCTTGGAAAAGTTATGATTTCATAGTTTCTTCGGCTTTTTCTCACTGTTAGGGTGAAAGCAGCATTATGTTAAATTTTTACATCCAAGGTGGAAGTAGAAATCCTGAATTTCAATGTTTTCACGTATAGTCAAGTCTAGTTCACTCCCACTCCTTGCATGTAGCATTCCAGGGACTCTAAGTGTGAACTTATGCTATTTGCTAGTCAGCAGTGTCTCCAGTCAGGAGTAGGCCCTGAACTCCGGATTTTCATTTCCAGAGTATCATGAGGCTCCCCCAAACACTGCCATGATTTTTAGTTACTTTCTGTTTGACTTCTTGACCTTCTGTTCTAGGTAGCTTAAGAACCACCAAATTCCCCAGGAAAGAACTGGTGATCAGTGGTGGAAGTTTTCTGCATCTCCTTTCTCTTGCAGATTTGGGGCCCTCAAGTCTGGATGGCTTGCCAACCAAGAGCTCACATTTTTGTCTTCTCAATATCATACAGTTGCTGAAAGCTTTGCTGCCTCTCTGCCTCTTAACCAGCTGTCTTTTGGCTAGCTCCTCAGCTTTCAAACTTGAGTCAAAATGTGGCAAATATTCCAAGGGAAAAAGTGGCAGGCAGAAAGTTGAGCTTATCTCAATGAGCTTTCCTTCTCTCCAGGATATTGTCCTCAGTGGTTGTAGCTAATGTGACGGTTCTCTGATGCTTTTAAAAAGGTGATTTTTTTTGTTTTAAATTTTTAAAATATTATGTGTGGCTTTTCTTATTGTTCTCATTGGGAGCGTTAGATTTTTCTTAAGACAGGAGAGGAAGTTTCGAATGCATTCTTGCACTCAAGGATGTGAAACACAGAAGGAATACTGGCTCACTAAAAAATGCTTTTAAAACTTTCTGGAGGTAACTAGGTTTCAGTGTCTACCAGATGATCGTTTTAATCATTATTAACAAAAAGATTTACACAACAAATGAATGCCATTTGATTTAGTTTCTTTAAAAAAAACTATGAATTGGTTTTAATAGGGAGATAAATAAAGAAGAAAAAGATCAGACTCTTGCTCTTTAAAAAGATGCAATGATCTTTGGCAGAGCCTCTTGGAGTGAGCTGAGGAAGAAGAGAAAGAAGGGCTATTTGGTCAGGCCTTATGTCCTCCAAGCATATTATCAAACGCAGCTCTGCATATAGATATTACATGTTTTATGTTAAAAATTTTGAAATGTTGAATATAAGTGTATCACAATGTTTATAACCCTATTTTGTTATATTTAATTTTTAACATACTGTGAGTCTCAAAAACTGAAGATGGCTCGGGTGAGCCCCTCTCAATCTCTGAGAAACCCTGGTTCTCAAAGTTGAGAGGTTTATCTTAGACCCAGTCAAATCTCTCCTATTTGCAATATATGTTCCTTTCCTTTAAAAGAAAGCCCTCCTAGGATATACATACTGTGATGCAGACAAGAATTTTCTCAACATTTCCACATTTCTGCCTTTAGCTCACAGGAGAGCTGTAGTTTATTTCAAAGTTGTTGCTGACCTGGGTCCTGCACCTGTAGAAGAGAGTAAACCAAGTAACAGGAAATAACAGATTATGTGTGCATAGCTTATTCTTTTTATTAGATGGTGATATTGAGGCAAAAGAAAGTGAGATTACATTTCTTGGCTCAAATAGCAAATTTGCATCTTAATAGGAATACAAATCAACTGCCATTCAGAATGATTACTTAGTTAAATATATTTTAAAGGAAAATACCATTGCACAAATAAACAATATAACTCAAGTATCTCTGGATTAGCAAAATACCGGGGTCTCCCATAGGCCAAACTGCCTGGGGCACTCAACACTCAACAGGTGCTGCTGCTGGTCTAGTAGCACACAGGTGTCTGATTCTGGTGGATGACTGAGCTCAAACAGGCAGGTTTCACAACTTTACTATCTGTTGTCAACTAGATGAAAGAAATGATGGCAGAAATGGTATCCTGCAACCCTAACTGCTCCACCTTAATCCATTCAGTTCTTGTTATATTAACTCTTTATTTTTGAAAATCTCATTGTGAGGGATGGAGAGAAACATACAAATAACTAATTGTAGGTCAATACATGCAATAGAAATGTCCCAGTGGCTGAAGTGGCCATGTGGAAGAACCAGAGTAGTAAAGGAAATGAAACGAATAGAAATGACTCATACTTCAGTATCTGGGTGGATGGTATTGCCCAAATGGAGACAGAAAAGGCAAGAAGTAAGAGAAGCAGGACTTATTCAGCATTAAGAATGGTGTGGTTAACAAAGCTGTAGGGCGTATCAATGGAAATGTTTAGTAGGCAGATAGGTGGATCTGTTACTCAGATGTAGATCTGGACTAAAACTGGAGATTTGTGAGCAATAGACATATAGGAGTTAGTTGAAGCTATGGAAGGAGGTGAGATTTTCAGAGAGAGTAAAGTGAGGGTAGTAAATGGCTGAGAATGAATATTTGGAAGAAACAGAGGAATAGGAGCAGGGAACTAAAGAAAAGTCTGCTTTCTTGGCCGGGCGCTGTGGCTCACACCTGTAATCCCAACACTTTGGGTGGCCAAGGCCAGTAGATCACCAGAGGTCAGGGGTTCGAGACCAGCTTGCCCCACAGGGTGAAACCCTGTCTCTATTAAAAATACAGAAATTAGCTAGGTGTGGTGATGCATGCCCATAATCCCAGCTACTCAGGAGGCTGAGGCATGAGAATTGCTTGAACCCAGGAGGCTGAAGTTGCAGTGAGCCGAGATCCTGCCACTGCATTCCAGCCTCCAGTGAAGGAGTGTTCAAAACAAGGAGCATTTTCTGTTTTGTTACAAAACAAAACAGAAAAATCTGTGCTCTCAACCCAGGAAAGAAGCTGGGGTCCTGTCCAGGGAATCCTAGGAGATATCTAAACATATACTGACTTCTCCCCATCCTCCCCTTCCACCCTCCCACTCTCAACCCCCTACCTCATCTTCTCACTCCCATATCTCCTTCTCTAACGCCCTCTATATCCCCCTCCACATTACATGCATCTCTTGCTATACTTTCCAGATGCTGTTTGCCTTTATCTGCTTGCACTTGCCTCATTCACTCAGGATATCCACTGGCTGAACTGCCTGCCCCAGAGTTTTTTCACCAACCTTGCTCTCTGGGCTTACCTTGTTTCTAATCCTGCTTTCTCTGCATCTGGTCTGTGACACTCACTATAGAACTTGGAGCTGCCTAATCTACAGCTCTACTGATTGCCATTTTAGTTTGGGTGGCATAGTGTGCATATGTGCATGTGTATGTGTGTGTGCACATGTACATTTTATTTAAAATAGCACAGACTGAATATGACTACAGTGGAATTTTTTTTTTTTTTTTTTTAAAAGAAATTTTGTTTTTTTTGCCCAGGCTGGAGTGCAGTGGCGCGATCTTGGCTCACCGCAACCTCTGCCGCCTCATCGAGTTCAAGTGATTCTCCTGCCTCAGCCTCTCTAGTAGCTGGAATTACAGGCACCCACCACCACACACAGCTAATTTTTTATTGTTAGTAGAGATGGGGTTTCACAATGTTGGTCAGGCTGGTCTCAATCTCCTGACCTCAGGTGGTCCACTTGCTTTGGCCTCCCAAAGTACGACTATTTACAGGTGTGAGCCACCATGCCTGGCCAACTATAGTGGATTTTCATTTTCTCTATATATTATTGTATTTTTTGTGTCATTCTCCCACCTCTAAGTACAGGCTATTGTCTGTATGTGTGGTAAAATGCATCATTTTCTCTTCAGTCTCTTATTTTCAATCATGTTATTTCTGATTTCACCCTTGGGTGTTTACCAAAAACATCAGTGATATAAATAAACATGACATTGTATTATCGTGTGGTTTATCTATCTGCTTTTGCATCTGCCTATGAACTCTTAACTTCAGACTTCATGCTTTGCTTTAGAGGATAACTTGGTCAGAATGAATGCCTTATTTCGTATGATGAATTGATGTATCATTTTACTTTTAAAAGCTTTTATTCCCCATCAACAGTCATTCCATAGACTATTCATTCCTTCAACAAGTATGTCTTGAGTATCTACTGTTTTCGTATATGTATGTGCATTTGTGGTGTATTCTCACACTGATGTATTTGAACTTCAGAATAATGAAAAAGATGGGGCTAGTAACTGACCCATTGAGTAACTGAGCTGGGTGACATGAAGTGACTACCCAAGGTTCACAGAGATAGCTATTGGAGATAATGTCAAAACTCACTTCCCAAGCCTCCTTTCCTAGCGTCCTTTTCAGGAGATGAGGTCTGCAACCTAAAATGTGAGTCAGAAAGGTATCACTATGGACTCCCTCCAGGGTCTCAGATTAACAACAATGATAATTGATATGGTTTGGCTGTGTCCTCACCCAAATCTCATCTTGAGTTATAGTTCTCATAATCCCCATGTGCGGTGGGAGGGACCCGGTAGGAGGTAATTTAATCATAGGAGCAGATACCTTCATGCTGTTCTTGTGATAATGAATGCATTCTCACGAGATCTGACGGTTTTGTAAGGGGCTTTTCCCCCTTTCCTCAGCACTTCTCCTTCTTGCTGCCATGTGAAGAAGTACGTGTTTGCTTCCCCTTTTGCTGTGATTGTAAGTTTCCTGAGGCCTCCTCAGCCCTGCAAAACTGTGAGTCAATTAAACCTTTTTCCTTTATAAATTACCCAGACTCAGGCAGTTCTTCATAGCAGTGTAAAAATGGACTAATACAATAATAATGAAAAAAATAATAAAAAATCAGCTAACATTTATTGAATACTCATTATGTTCCAGGCATTATTTTATTATTTTTTCATTATTATTGTACTAATTCATTTTTACTCTGCTATAAAGAATGATTACATTATTCCATGATTACATTATTTCATTTATATTTCATTTGAGATATAAAGAAACAAGACTTTGAAAGTTTAAACAATTCTGCAACAGTTCATGGCAGAATCGAGGGTAAAAACATGAAATGAATGTCTTAACAAGAGTTATGGAGCAGTAATGATAATGAGTCATTATCTTGAGTAATGACTCAAGATAAGGCCATGGAATTTTAAAGTTAGAAGGATTGTAGCCGCTATGGTCTGAATGTGTATGTTCATACACACATATGCATGCTTTCCTAAAAACATGTTGAAATCCTGCCCCACACAAAGTGATTGTTTGAGGAGGTGGGGCTTTTAGGGGTGATTATGTCATGAAAGTGAACTGCTCATGAATGGGATTAGACCACTTATAAAAGATGCCCCAGAGAGACACCTCACCTCTTCCACCAAGGGAGGGCACAGTGAGAAGACTGCTGTCTAAGGAAGTGGGCCCTCACCAAGACACCAAATATGCCAGCACTTTAATCTTGGACTTAGCCTTCAGAACTGTAAGAAATAAATTTCTGTTGTCTATAAGCTATCCAGTCTATGGTATTTTGTTATAGCAGCCCTAATGGCTAAGACAATAGGTAACAACAAGTATTTGTGTGATACTATATTAGGGTAAATCTGTATCAATTGGGCTTCAACCAGGGAAATAGAAGCAGTAGGGTATCTATCTGTATCTGTATCTATGTCTACATCCATGTCTATCTATATTATCTATATCTATGTCAAAAGAGATTCATTTCAAGGAATTGGCTTATGTGGTCATTGAGCTGGAAAGTTTTAATTCTGTGGGGCGGCCCACTGGCTGTAGATCAACACTGTAGGTCACAGGGAGAATTTCTTCTACTTTTGGGAAACTTCAGTTTTCCACTTAAGACCTTTCAACTGATTGGATGAAGCTCACCCAGATTATGGAGGATAATCATCCTAACTCAAAGTCAACTTACTTCTGCGAAATAGCTTCACAGCAGTGCCTAGATTAGTGTTTAATGAAATAGCTTGTATTTCATGTGTCAAATTTACACATGAAACTCACCATCACAGGTGCTTTATAGTTAATGAAGTGCTTTCACATATCTTATCACTTTGGGTTACCAATAATAAATAATACATGGTCCTCCCCTCAAGGTACTACAGAAACATGTAGTACCTTGTACTGGAAGACAGAAACATGTAATTATAGAACAGTGTTAGAGATGTTATAATAGAGATATTGCAAAGTGCTATGGGAATATGGAGAAAGAATAACTTGGAGGCCTTTAAGTTATTCTTAGACTAGAAAAAACAACCATTTTAGCATTGTGCTGGGATTTTACATCCATTCGTTTATTAAATTCTTACAACTCTGTGAGTTTAGGTGGTATGATTCTCATTTTACAAATGTGGAAAGTAAGAATGACCCAGTAACTTTCCAAACATCTCGTAGCTTGTAAGGTGCTGAGTTAGGACTTGAAACGATTCTGATGCCAAAATCTATACCTTTTCTATTGTGTTATCATAGAGACTGTTAAACTCATCATTAAACTTCTGATACCAATGAACAGCGTGCCCTCCATGTGCCTGGCACTCCTTTGATGTTAATTAAATTACAACATTGAGTTGAACTGGACTGAACTGAACTGAGCAATCACTGAAGTGTGGTAGATAGGTCTAGAAAAACTGTTACCCTTGCTTACTTGGGGACTTTGATATCCCCTCCGTCTATGTCTCATCTGTGCAGTGAGAGTTTGAAGATGATGTTGAAATTTATTTCAGTTATTAAAGGTTATTTTTCCATGAATTGGCTTCCCTGAGGTCACACAGCTAGAGGGTGACATTACAGTGAAGTATTTTCTCTTGATTTTTATTATAAAAATGTCGCACATATAACCAGAGATGAAAAGGCAGTAAAATAAGTGCAACAAAACAAAATACCATGAAGGAAAGAATGAGTAAATAAATGTTTTTCAGCTGTCATTACCAACTATTTCCTGACTAAAGCAGAGGCAAAGTAAAATTATAATAGGAACGCAATGAGCTGCGTTTTATTTTTTGAGTGATATTGATTTTAAATGTTCCTGTCCCCAGTTCTTTGGGCAATTGCTGTTTTTGAGTGTCCCAGGTGACCACTTTTGTTACCTGGGCTCCCAAATCTTGAATGAATTGACCCCAGTGAATGCTTCCATCCAGCACAAAGCTGCCCTCATGGTGACAACAGGGCATATTTAGCTCTTGTTTTAACCTTTTCATCTGATTGAAGTAGGTGCTCAAAAGCCTGGGAGGACAAAACTAATTGCTTTAGATTTTTCAGCACAGGCTGTTACCAACATAGGGGAACATTGACCGTGTTTATGGGATGCAGAATGATCTCATGCCCCTGGAATTGCTTAATTGGCTGTTCTTCTCTGAAATCAGCTACTGAGAATCTCTGCCATCCTTTCTTCTTGAATACTCTTAAAGAGGTCGTGCTCACCAAGAAATCCACTGAATTCACATTTTCTCAGGTCAATGTTCCTAGATCACTATTCCCTCTCATCGCATGTTTAGTATTCTAGGTTCTGACTTCTTGTTTTCCTGGGAAAGGGCTTGTACTGTCTAATTCTGAGGCATCTTTACATTACTGGCTGATTATTTGGTCTCTGGTGCCATTTGGTGCTC